AAATTCTAACAACTAGAATTTGTGATAACCTAAAAGTATATTATATAATGCTAATTCAGCAAAAACGTCTTTGGGATTTCAGGTTCTACTAATTCATTGTTGGATGAAGTAAATTTCATGTTTTTTATACTTTATTTAAACAGATCCTTGGGAACCATGAACCATGGTTTTCAATAATTTACCACATTTTAATTGTTAGCAGCTATGTATCTGATAACTATGTACTTCGAAGCCACTTCTTGAAAAATACTCACTAATTCAAATGCTTTGATATTTTAACAAAATCCTATCCCTGAAAACAAACCCATTTCTGAATTAAGAAGTGTTACTAATATGAACACTTTTGTATCTAACCTTATTTTCAATTAGAGGACTCTTACCTCTCAATTTTTAAATACTCTCTTGAAATAAGTAAAAGGATTTAAGAATAAGTTAGTGTCTATGACTTTTAAATTTGTTTTAATTATCTGGTCATGTTTATTCAACAACTGCATCAAATGGCTCATTTTCAAGATTCTCCCCCAAATCAACTTTAATTTGATAATCAGCATATGCATCTTTAGAAACCTCACAGCTAAGTATATACACATTATTTGAACACTGCCCCATTGAAATGAACTCCCTCAACATAGTCACTTGTTTTTAAATCTCTTATTTGATCCCCATTAATCATAAAATCTATTTTATTTGTGCAGAGTTGAAAGTCTATTTACCACTCGGAGAAGAACAAAATAACATGGAATCCTCTGCCTATATAATTAGCATTTAAGAGCTAATGTTTCTAACAAGTATATCATTAAAAAACATTTGCACATTAGCAACTAGTACAGTTTTCACTTAACACCTCTATAAACAAGTTATATGCACTCTAAACACATATTCTGAACTTAAATAAACAATGAAATGACATTTAGAGCTCCCTTCAAGAAGGCCTGTTATAGTAAAGGCAAATACTTACTTTGTAACTAAAGTTGCTTCTAAGCAGTAGCCTCAAATCCTCTGCAGATTTATATATTAAAAAATATATATATAATGATTCATATAGCAGCTTATTTATATAGGTGGTATTTTAAGTGCAATCAGAAAAAGAAGTTAAAAGCATTAATCCAAGAAATCTGTAAACTTCAACATGGTACAGTGATTTAGCATTGACAATGGAGCACAGAGCAGCCTTGGTGGAGCAACAGTTAACTGCTTGGCTGCTATCCCAGAGGGTGGTGGTTTGAACCCACCTAGCAGCTCCAGGATCTGCTCCCATGAAGACTAAACCCAAACCAAACCAAACCCGTTGCTATCGAGTTGATTGCTACTCATAGCAAGTCCGTAAATATTACAGCCTAGAAAACCCTGTGGGGCACTTCTACTCTATCACATGGGGTCGCTATGAGTCAGAGTCAACAGCACCTAACAACATAGAACATAAATACCAGGGGTTGAATCCCAGCTCCACTGTTTTTCCATTAGCTCAATTAGCCTCGAGCAATTTACTCCAGCTCTCTAAATCTGTTTCCTCTTCTGTAAAATAAAACTCAAAAGAATACCTTCCTTTTTAGGTTTTTTATGAGAATTACATGACATTACCCATGGAAAAGCCCGTACAGCATAGCACCTGACACAGAGCAATCACTCAATAAATAAATGTTAACCATTATTGCCATTATCCTCATTTTACTGTTAAAAAAAAAAAAGACATGAAAGTAGTTGAGTAAATTCAATTATTCTATACATAAACCAGATCAGTGGGCAGACCACAAGCTAACTACTGAACCCCTGTATTCAGACCATGAGACTCAGCTTCTGTTCAGTAGACCTTACACTGCTCTCACTACCAGCATATATCTCATCCTGAACAACCAAAAGAACAATCTGGTTACTCACACTATATCACATTAATATGTAAATTCATCACTTCAGCAAGAAAACCAAAAACAAGTGGTTCATTCATGACTCATTTTATTCATAACAATCTCGAACTTGTCACCCAAAAACCGGTCTTTACAGCTGCAGTTACATGAAGTAAACATATTCATATCCAAATTCATGCAGTGGTGTCAAAAATAAATAAAAGCAAACTATCTGAGAGAAGATATGGTTAGTCCCCTAAAAGTGAATTGTTAAATATTAAGGAGAGAATGTATCGTTATTTTCCAGAGAACAAGCTTAAATCATGAGCAAACACTGTTCATTTACACAAGCAATGATGTCTTGTTTTACGAGTACATTCGATAACTGCACTTCAGGTCAGAGTCTTAAAATGAAAACAACATATAAAAGAGGATATCTGCATCCTTAAAGGAAAGGGCCTTATCTCTACTGCAAAATATCTGGATAACAAAAAGCAAAAATGTTATAGTGGAACATGTGTACTTTTTTTCCTCCTAGGCCGAATCTCTTATCAAAATAGAGAACTCCTTTTTCCCTAAGGCTGGTTTATAATTAGAAATTAGATTCCTCAATAATTTAATGACCGAAACCTTTATTAAAGTCAAATGACCTTTCTAATTAAATTTTCTCCTAATATATAAGCTCTGCTAGGCAAGTGTCATCTCTACACATAATAAAGGCCGTATATTCTTACTAAATGAATTTTTCCTCTATGTTCATCGTTTGATTTGACATTATAACAGTAATAAATAATTGGTAAAACTTCTGAAAGTATAATAAATTACTAATGCATTCTGGTAAATGCTGTGATTTGTGTATTTATACTGTACCTATTTTCCATTCTTCGATGAAAAATATTCAAGGTAAAATATTTTACTCTTCTATGTATATTTTTTTTTTAATTCTCATTTCAAACATATATAGGTAGTGAGGGCAAATGTGTACGATTTTATTATAGCATTAAGAAGAGTGTTAGGATTTGAAAACCTGGAGACAAGAATTGAGATATGTATGTAAAATTGACATCAGGTTCAAAAACTCTTGCGGCAAACTATGCGCTTATAACATGGGCTTATCCAAATAAATATATTTAAAAATGCATAAAAATATGATAATTGCACTTGAAGTACTTACACTCTTAATCATTAAGTATTTGTTTAAAACACAAAAGTAATTAAATGACTATTAAGGCATCATTATGAAAAGCTATGAAGTGTGGAAACCCAAAAATACATTGTCATCAAACCTCCCTCTCCCTATGTATGCCACTTTAAATCTAGTGAATTTCATTTGCCGTAAATCAAAGTAAAATCCTGAACCTGAAGTATATAACTGTTGTGTGTATATGTTTGAAATGACATATTCATCAGTCACTTCACCGTTTAAGTCCAAGATGACGTAGATAAAATGCTTTACCATTACTTATCTCATTACTCAAAATAAATGATAAAACTAAGGCAAAGTATTAAGTGACTTACTCAAGGATATCAGCCAGTAAGTAGTCAGCAAAATTTTACATGTTTATCGGGTTTCTTGGCTTTTTAGTTCATATAGGTAAAAAAAGGAATTTGCACCAAAAGGAGTATCATCTGAGAGAAATCAATATGCACTTAATGAATACAGCATTCCGAAAGGAGATGTGGGAACAGCCAACTCTCCTTAAATTTTACACATCTCCAAACACAAACAATAAAACAGGAACATGGACGAGAATCTTCTAAACCACAAGCCACTAACCAGCAAAATAAGAAAAGTACAATCGCTGGATTGTCCCCTCTCCAGCTCACTTGCTCTCTTGCTCGCGCTCTCTGCTGCTGCTGCTGCTGTATATTTCTACCTGGTTTACTACTAGGAAACAGATTTCAGATTTCAAAATGCCTTCAAATGAGCCTTTTTTTTTCAAATGAGCTAAGGCAACTGTCTGCACTCCTCAGGCAAGGCCGTTAAGGTAACTTAATCCCTCGTGAATTGCTCAGTGGAGGAAATGCTGGTTCCTAATTCAAAAATTAATTCTTTAGCTTTTTTTCTTATTAAGATGCACGAAGAAAACCACAGCTATAATTTAGATTCAGAATGCTATCTTGAAGACTCGCAGGACAAATAAGAGCTTAGGGAATAGAAGACGATGCTGGGGGGGGAGGGGGACAGAGAGAGTGCGAGAAAGATGCTGGTCAATTCCGAGATGATGCAGGAATGACATGGCACCTGGACAACACAAGTGCACGTTCACCGCCGGAGAAATAAGCCTCGATTTCTCTGGCATATGCCTGAAGCTGTGACTAGGTGCACACGCAACACACCACCTTTTATTCTTTGACTCCCAGGAGGAGAATGGTGGGGAAGCGTCGCCGGATAAGGCTTCACCACAACAAATGATTTCTTTCTCCTCGCACCCCACCTCCCCTGCTGGGGGTCGGCGACGGCGGTCTCAACAGCAGACAGCTGAGAGGGGCCAAGAACCCGGGCGCGACAGAAAGCATCTCGGCGGGGCAGCGGGGGGTGGACAAAACCCTTAGCTCCGCCGAGAGCCTCTGGGAGGACGGGAGGAAAAGGAAGGGGATGTGGAGCCGGGAAAACAGGCAACCGACAGGGAAGCGCCTGGGCACACTACGCAGCCAGCTGCCCGGGGCAGGCGCTCTCCCAGATGGGGAAGTCGCCCCGGCCGCGGACCACCGCCACCGACTCCCCGACCGGAGCGACGGGAGGAAATGGCTTTGTATCGCAGGATGGAAGGCAGACGGGAGAGCCACCAGGCGGGGGGTGGGGACGGAGGATGCCCGGAGTCGGGAGGACCGCGCCCCACTGGCACCGCCGCTCTGCCCCCATTCCGCTGCAGCCCTGACCCACCCTCGGGCTCCCGCCGCCCGTCCACATTCCAGCTGCCCGGAGGGGGTCGCCCCCGGCGGCGTCCCCAACCGGCGCCGCGCGCTCACCTGCCCACGAAGTTCTCGAGCACCGAGCTCTTGCCGGCGCTCTGGCCGCCCACCACGGCGATCTGCGGCAGCTCCAGCAAGCAGCTCTGCCCCAGAGCCGAGAAAGCGTCCTGCAGACGGTTCACCAGAGGGATAAGCTCCTCCATCTCCCGGTTCCCCATCCTGTCTGCGCGGCCGGCCGCCCGCCGGACCCTGTTCGCCTTGGGGACCTGGCCCCGACTCGGGCTCCTCTGGTCTGGCCGCCGCCGCCGCCGCCGCGCTAGGCTCGGACCGCTGGGTCCAGGCACAGAAGTCGGATCCCGCCGCCCGCCTGCGCTCGGCTACTGACAGCTAACGGGCCGCAGCGCGCCTGCGCGGGCGGGCGGGGGCGTGGTCTGGCTCTGCGACGGCCCAGCCCTGCGGCTGCTCCGCCCCAAGGTTCCCAGCCCGACCCTCGGACCCCGCGCGCGCGCATGCCTCCCAGCTGCAGCCAGATGCCACGGTCTCTGCCTTCTGCTGCCAAGGCTCAGAGACAGAGTTACAGCACTTGGTCAGGGGATGGCGTCAGCTCATCATCAGGTGGCAGCTCTGCTCCCTTCCAGCAGCTGCCAAAGCCTAGTGGCAAGCACTACACGGCTAACAACACAACGCTGTCACCAACAGCATTAGCACTGCCACCACCACCATCGGTGTACCGCCACTACAGTCCACTTCCTAAAAGGAAATCTTGTAGTGTCACGCCCTGCTCCAGAACCTGTGAAGGCTCCTCTAGAGGTGGCCGGCCTGATGAAGTCTAAATTCCTCAATTTGACATTTATTTTAGGCCCTGCGTAGTCTGACCCTACTTAACTATTCAGTTTTAATGACTTATCTTCCCCAGGTCCGCGTTAGCAAAGGTGGAGTCCCTGGGGCTTCATTCTCCCCACCACCACCCCCATTCTATCTACCATGCTCACTGTGTCCTTTGAGACTCTTCATGCTATTTGTCCTTCCACTCTATCTTCTTCTATAGTCTATCCATAACCATGTACTCTGCACCCCTTCTGTTAAATTTATCAAGTATTGAAGCCTCTGTGTATTGGGTCCAGTGCCTGGCTTCTCTCAACCCCCGCAGAAAGTTCCTCTTCTTAGAAAGTCATCTGCTCCTCAAATATTCATACACCTCAAGATTTCATTCATGGGCGTTTTCTTGTCTCATGCTTCATTCTCTGCCTGAGGACTTCCCCATAATTTTAATTCCACATAAAGGCTAGAAACTACAGAAATCTAAACTGCTGGCAAACGTCTCTCCTGCACTCCAGACTGTACTCGACGGTATCCTGGACCTCATTACTTGAGTGTTCCACAAGTACCTCAGACTCGACTTATTAAAACTGAACTCACCTTTTTAATCTCAGCATTTTTAGTGTTATAACTTTCCCTCTAACCTAAAAAGATGTGTATAAGAATGTTCATAATAACCAGAAAACTGAAAACAACCCAAATGCCCACAACAGGTGAATGAATAAACAAATATGGTATGTGCATACAGTGAAATATTCTCAGCACTGAAAAAAAAGTGGATAGTGAGACAGTAACAACAGGACTGACTCTCAGATGCATTACATTGAGTGAAGGAAGCCAGATATAAAGAACATACTGTATGATTCCATTTATATGACGTTGTAGAACAGGCAAAACTAATCTACGGTAATAGAAATTAGAACAGAGGTTGCCTTTGAGGGGTTGGGACTGACTGCAAGCGACATGAGGAAATTTTCTGGAATAATGCAAAATGTTCTATATCTTGATTAGGGTGTGGGTACATATTTGTCAAAACTCATCAAACTAAACATTTAAGATTCGTGCATTTCACTATATGTGAATTACACTGCAATTTAAAAAAAAAAAATAGAGAAAGCCAAACAAAACTGAGCACATCATCTTCTCCACCGAAAAGGAGCATGTTTTTTCTAAGAATCACTCCTCCACCCACCACATGGTTGTGCCCAGAGCAGCCATGTGCACCAGGGTGGGCACCTGGCCTCAGGTGTGCCAATCAGAGCCCTTTCCCTGGAATACGGAATTGAGAGAGAGATTGGTCTTTTTCTGAATAAATTTGGGAACTATTTTTAGTAACTTTTTCACCAGTGGAAGGGAGATGCAGAAGATTCTGGTCTTTAGAGAACAAGAAAAACAAAAAGACACATCGAGAGAACATAGGGAAAACAAAGAGAAGTCCTGATAGTACTTGTTTAGTTTAGTTCCTTTCTGATACTCAGTTACAATCCTGTCCTGAGTTCCATGAGCCACCCTCCCCTATAAATTTAAAATAAACTCCTCTCTTAACTTAATTCAATTTGGATTCCTTTAACTTGTAACCAAAAGAATCCTAATAAATATATCCTCCAGGGTGCCCCCTATCTCAGTGAGAGGCTTGCCCAGCCCCAACCCAGAATCTGGAAGACATTCTAACTCCCAGTCCCTCCCTACCCTTTTCATCCAGTCGGTACCAACCTGTTATGAATTGAATTACGTCACCTAAAAATATGTGTTGTAAATCCTAACCTCTATGCCTGTGGTTATAATCCCATTGGCAATGGGTTGTCTTTGTTATGTTAATGAGACAGGATTAGTGTAGGATGTGTCTTGAGTAGATCTATTCTGAGATATAAAACAGATTAAACACGCAAGCAGAGATGGGGGAAGAGAGATGCCAAGCCACATGAAGATTGAACAAGAGCAGAAGCTCAAAGAGGCAAAGACCTTCCTCCAGAGTTGACAGAGAAAGAAAGCCTTCCCCTAGAGCCGGCACTCTGAATTCAGACTTCCAGCCTCCTAAACTGTGAGAAAATAAATTTACATTTGTTAAAGCCATTCACTTGTGTGATATTTCTGTTATAGCATCACTAGGTAACTAAGACACAAACCATGGCAATTCTATCTCTCTGGGACCTGTCTCCTCCTCTCTATCCTTGCTATCAGTGCATCAGTTATAAGCATCATTCACTGAACAATCAATCACCGTCCTCTTCACTTCCTGTGCGTCTGTTCCCTGCATTACAGCACTTGGCACATTGCATTAAGTCACCAATTTACATGTCTCTCTTCCACTAAGGTGGTAAGTAGAGTAATGATCCCCTAAAGATGTTCACATTCCAATCCCCAGAACCTGTGAATGTGTTACCTTACGTGGCAAAGGGAAGTTTGTAGACGCGATTAAGTTTACTGACTTTAGGCTGGGGAGATTATCCTGGATTATTTGAAGGGCCCCAGTCTAATCACATGGATCCTTAAAAACAAAGACCCTTTTCTGCTATGTCAGAGGGAGATGTAACTATAGAAGAATGGTCAGAGAGATGCAATTTTGCTGGCTTTGAAGCTGGAAAAAGGGGGCCACACACCAAGGAATGCAGGCAGCCTCTAAAACCCGTTGCCATGGAGTGGATTCCAATGCATAGCACCCTGTAGGACAGAGTAGAACTGCCCCATAAGGTTTCCAAGGAGTGGCTGGTGGATTTGAACTGCCAACATTTTGGTTAGCAGCTGAGCTCTTAACAACTGTGCCACGAGGGCTCCAGCTGGAAAAGGCAAGGAAACAGATTCTCCCCTAGAGAATCCAGAAAAGAATGTAACCCCACTGATTTTAGCCCAGTGAGAACTATGTCAGACTTGTAACCTACAGAACTGTAAGATAATAAAATCATGTTGTTTTAAGCTACTAAGTGTGCGCTATTTTGTTGCAGCAGCAATATAAAACTAATAACAAATAATGATAACCTCCCTGAAGGCAGGAGCTATCCTTGTGATTCTCAATGCCTAGCACAGTGCTTGGAATCTAAGGAGACCACAGTCTTCTGGTGATAGACATAAACCAATCATTGCAACACAATGCTGCAGGTGAAGGAACATGAGATGAAACAGGGAGTAACGATCCACTGTGTGGACTGACACAGTGGCTGCAACAAAGGGCTCAAGCATAACAACGACTGCGAGGATGGCTCAGTACCGGACAGTGTTTCGTTCTGTTGTACAAAGGGTCACTATCAGTCGGAACCAACTCGACTGCACCTAACAACAGCAACAACATAGGCTGAAGTCAAGCCCTACGAGAGGTGTTAGAAAATTTTTGAGTAGTGACAATATCCCTGGAATAAATGTTTAACCTCTCAAGGAAGAGCACATATTTGAATATATGAACTCAGGAACGGATGTTTTTAAAACTCAGCCACATTACAGCAGAGTCATATCTCATATATTTCCCACAGTGCCTAGCTCAGTGTTCAATAAATATTTATGAAGCAGAAATGAACTGAAAGTGTAAGCATTTGTCATCTTGTCCATTATAAGTATCACCGGGCAAATAATATTATCACTCTGTATATAACTTAGGACCTATTCAACTTCTTAACAGTTCTTTCTGCAGAAGTTTTCACTTGAGTGGATTTTATAACTTACTGCAAACCAGCTTGTCTGGAGCATCTTTTGAGTTTTATTAAACCCAATGAACATGCAATACAGACACACAGACTGGCTGACACATATGTCACTCAGAGCTTTTCTCCTTCAGCCTAGAGGGGTGGTAAGAAGATAAATCCTACCAATTTTATTGCCCATGTTCTTCATCAGCTTCAACAGAAAGCAAAATAACTCTGAAAGAACCACTCAAGTCTTCCATCCCTATCACTTTTGTCAATTTGAGATCTACAGAAACTCACCAGTAGTTCCATCAAAGCACGGTTAAATCAAGACACTCACAGGGCAGAAAACACAGGAAGGAAAGTCTAAGGTGGTAAGAAAGAAGGGTTAGGAAGAACTCTCCACATCGCTTAAGTCTGACTTAGCAGCCAGTTTGGGCTTACTTCTATCAAGCTGTGCTCTGCTTTAAACATAATCTAGATATATTGAGGGAGAACAGAAATCACATTGGATTCCTTTCAAAGAGAAGCTCCCCTAGTGCTTTTTAAATGTCATTTGTTAAATTAGGTAACGCTGTCTGTATATCTATTAGGTAAGCTATTAAATGACCATTTACAATTAGGTTAATAAGGAGTTTTCAATGAAGCAGGGAAATGTTATGAACAAAACATTAAATAAAAAAGTAGAATCTAAAACTTTATATATAGTATTATCTTACCTATGTAAAAAAACAAAAACAAAAACAAAAACCTATGTTTAGAAAAAAATAAATGTACCAAAAAATTTAATGCTATTCTCTGTGAGAAAACATGGAAAATTTTGATTGTCTTTTTCCTTTTATTTCCCAAACTTTCAACAATGAGCATGTAATAGTCTTATAATTAAAAAAAAAAAGTTAAATGCCATTTGATTTAACCATAATTGGTTTACATGCACATCAGCTTACCAGCAACGCCTAACCGTTACAC